CATCCCAGAAATGACACATCGATAATAAATGTCACGCATGTCTAAATTTAAACAAAAAGATCTATTGAGCAGTCAAACCAAAATCTAACATTTTATAGCTAATGTAAAAGAGTGGCAATGCATGCACCTACATGATCCCAAGGCATAGCTGCTTATTGCACTTATTGTTTAATGCTTGCAACTGTCGGCCAATTCTGACAGCTAGAAATATCGGCCGGCCGATGTATCCATCTAACTTTATAAGGTGTATGGATGAACCCGTGTACATCTTAAAAGGCAACTTTGGAGTGTTAAGTCAGAAAAGGAAGTCACAGGACAAATTTCATCCTAAAACTGTAAGCTTTGAAATAGAATGTATTTATTGAATCAAAAACAGATGTGTATTTCTACTGCTCAACTGTTTTTTTTTTTTTTTACCTAATTTAAACTGGTAACTGAGAAATGGACTGGTTATACCTCTCTTTTGGATCAGGTCCATTTTCAATGATACTTGATAGAAAACTTTTTTATTTTTGGATCGAAAGTGGTATTAATATCAGATTGATGCACCTCAAATTTCAAATGCTCTAAAATATGATCTGGATTTTCTGGACTTAAAAAAAAAGTCCCATGTTAAAAGAGAATGACTCCTGATATGGAGTAATAAGCAACAAGAGGATTAGGAGGCTTAATGCAAATCATTAAAGTTATCAAATTCCTTTTGGGAACATTGCTAATAGAGAATTCACTCTTCTTGATTACGGTGAGCCTCATGCAACAACATTTTCATATTCTTGTCGTAAATTTCTGTAAAAAAAGATGTGGGCTTTTACGAACACACCACAACAGATTCATCAAATGTTCTTAACTTCAGTAAACAATCGTAAATGACCCTCGTAAACCTGATGCAGTCCACCTGTGTGTGAGTGCTGGTTCCCTAGAAATTTAAATCAGCATAATTACTACCCCAATAATGCTATATATCTGTACATATAAGTGGGAGGGCTATGACTTCCCACTTTCTTCAGAGGGTGTTCATTCATAAAAATGGCATTAAAGATGAAGAAAAAAACTTTACAGGTTCAAAAATCTGCTGACTGAGAGCTGAGCTGCAACATTAAAGGACCAGTGAAAGCTTAGCAGTGAAATAAATCACAATAGCTGTAAGTGCTGTGGGCTGCAATGTTATAAAACTAGAACATTAAAATAATATGAAAAGAAAAATAATTTGATACATATGATGTAAATGCTTAATACGATTTCCCAATCACCCATCATGACAACATTCCGCTAAATCTCCTTTTAATACTCACACATACCTGCACTGTACATCTCCAGACCTCGTCTGTCATCCCTTTATCATATTCTCCATCTTTCTCATACATGAACATAAAAATGTTAACGTTGAAACTCAAATTTGACCAATTCAGACAGACCCAAACCACAAACATTCCACATTTTTGTCAGAACAAAGCCAAGAAGCTGCCATGGAATAAAGTGAATGCAGGTGTTACCATTAGAGGAGCTTTGCTGAACTGTCCGTCCATTTTCTCTTCCAGATTTTATTGCAATAGTAGCTTGATCTGCACTGTTCTTTGTTTTCATGAAATGACAACAAATTAAACCAGTATCCTCTGGATACCGACATTCCAGCTGCAGGTGTAGCGACCGATAGTTCTGTCATCAGCAAATAAAAATGTAATTTATAGTTGCAGAGTTGCATAATGTAGTCTAAAAAGTGACAAATGATTCTAAGTAAAACAAATGTAGTCATTTAGTAAGAAATTAGGTTTGATTAACAGCTGACTGATTGCGCAAGACTCCTACGTCAAGTCAACAAACGATGAATGCAACATTTTCTCCTGAATCACTCCATTAAACAGCGAATTTGTGCGTATGAACGGTCCTTGCATGAGGCCCATTATTTTTAAGCATGTATTAGAACTCAGAATAAACTTTCATTTGATAGATTATTCCTAGAGTCTTTTTTATTTTTTATAAGGTCTCCATTTTTCCTGACTTCATCTGTTGCTTTAAACATCATTTTGTGTCTGTCCCTGTTTGGCTGCAGCTGTTCAGCAGAAGATGGGAGAGGAGACTGGAGCCAGGATAAGGGCAGAAGGCCGGGTGGTGGAGGTTGAGAAGCAGTGCTCAATGTTAGAATTTGACCTGAAGCAGTCGGTGCAGAAAATGGAGCAGTTGATGAAGCAAAAAGAAAGGCTGGAAGACGAGGTTAGTAAACTGCTGATGTTTATGAGATGTTGGATTTATTTAGGCTACCATAAATACAGTGTTGAAGATAATGGGTTTGCTCATTTGTGTTCAGGTCTGGACAAGTTAGGGAAAAATATAATTGAGTATTTTCTTTTAAAGAAGACCCTAACATGGGTTAATATTTTTCCATTACTGCAATGGATTTCCTTCAATTAGAAAAAGATTTGTATGGGCGTTGCCATTTAGACTTGTTATTTAATGTATTCGACTGATGTACAACTTAGCAAAGTTGCCATTTATAGAAAGTTTTCTGGGGTCAGGGAAAGGAGGTATTTGAAATTAAGCATACAAGGAAAACAGGAAGAAGGGAAGGACAAAGCCTTGTGTGCTTCCTCCTCTCCTTACGTGCTTTGTCTTTTCCTAGTTTGCCTCCTTTTTGGCAATAATGTAAAAATCAGAAAATATTTTGTGACTTTACCAATTTAAATGTTGCCTTAAATCCCTCCAAACCCTCACAACTCTTAAATCTTCATTGATTAGGTGAAAAGTCTGCACATACATCTGGAACAGGAGTCAAATAAGCGAGTCATTGCCCAGAATGACTTGAAGAGCCGCACTCAGGATGTTGACCGCCTACGGTGTTCAGAGAAGCAGCTCAAGCAGGAGATCAACACCGTGCTGGAAAGCAAACGCTCTCTGGAGTTCCAACTGGCACAGCTGACAAAGTAAGTTTAAAAAATATATGCTTTCTTAGTGGTGCCCCATTAAAAGGTAGACTGAGTGTAAGAATTGTTTGGAAAATAAGTGGCTCAACCAATCTGGCACTTTGATTTACTGTAAAACGAGCTGGCGGCTCTTACTTTTTAACCCTGCTGCATGGGGCAGTAAAGCTCTTAGGAGGTTAAGGTGTGAATTGCTTTCAAATTGCCTGTTATTCTCTAATAAGTGCTATTACTCTGGATTAGAACATAAGCATGGCAAAGCTGATCTGAGACAATGTTTACCCAACAGGATTAGGCCAGCTCCATCCACTAATTTGCTAATCCTTAACCCAATGTGTTCTAGTAAATAGCATAATTTTACATGCTTGTTTGTTTTTATTCCTTTTTGATATTTAAATTTGTGATTTAAACAAAGGTCTTATTTCATTTCAGTTGAAAATAACTATGAATCCCAGAGAGGGATAAAATAATTATTCTTGATTTGTTTCAACAGGCAGTACAGAGGCAACGAGGGACAGATGAGGGAACTTCAGGACCAGCTTGAAGCCGAACAGTATTTTTCTGTAAGTGAAATTCCAGAATCCAAATCCCTCTGCCGTTCTCCAACAAGGTAAAATACTGATCTGTTTTCTCTTTCAGACACTTTACAAAACTCAGGTTAAGGAATTAAAAGAGGAGATAGAAGAACGGAACAGGCAGTTACAAGAAGCACAGAAGAAGGTGCAGGATTTGATAAGTGATAGGTAAGGGATGAAGTCGTCTCAATGTTAGTGCGGCTTTGACTATCTGGGTTCAAGGGTTTTAAGTTGTTTATTTTGTGCGACGCAGGGATTCATTGTCTGCTCAACTGGATCTGACGGTAACCAAGGCCGAGTCTGAGCAGCTCGCTCGGGCTCTTCAGGAAGAGCAGTACTTCGAACTCAGCCAAGAGAACAAGAAAGCAACAGCTAGGCACAAGCAAGAGTTGGGAGAAAGAGAGGCCACTATTGCACGGGTGAGCTAAACCGAAAAGTCTTTGTTTTAAACTTTACGGTGTGGCTTTTGCCTCAGAAACCCGGAGTGAGAATTTTTTTATTTTACTTGTCTGCAGCTTGAGGAATCAAATAAAACACTGACCAAAGATGTGGAGACCCTCAGCAAAGATAACACAGAGCTGAGTGAGAAGCTTCGTCTTAAGGAGGAAGGTACGGTCCTTTGCTCAACTGTGTCCCTGCTCTATTGTAATTATGTAATCATGCTTAAGTTGGAACACAGTCTGGAAACGGCAAGGCAAGTTTATTTATATAGCACAATTCTTTACAAGGACAATTTAAAGCTCTTCAAAGCATGAATTAAACAATAGAAGGAAAATATCACGTTTTGTCTATCTGTTTGTGCTTCCACATCCCAGCAATGAATTATATTTGTTCATCAATCAATCCTTACATCCTCTTTTCACTCCATATTTACATCATGACCACTGCAGAGCTTTCTGCCACAAATTGATTGTTTTAAAATAGCCTTAATACTACAATGAGAACGAAGGCTTCTTTAAAGTTTAGAAGTTTTTAAGTATACTGCATAGAAACCTGAAGCACTAAATACTTCATGCTTTGTCTTTTAGAATATGTCTCACAGAAGGAAGAGATCATGGCTTCAATCAAAGCCAACTATGAGAAGGTGCTCCAAACAGAGCGCACACTGAAGACTCAGGTAAGCATCAGAGGGTCTACAGAACTAATGATCTGATTACTGGCAGAATAATTACTCAGGGTTGGTATCTTTACTTTCAGGCTGTCAACAAGCTGGCAGAGATCATGAATCGTAAAGATATGAAGCTTGACCAGAAGAAGAAAGGTAGCACTGCAGAACTGCGCAAGAAGGAGAAAGAGAACCGCAAGCTTCAGCAAGAACTCAATCAAGAGAAAGAGAAGTTTAACAGCATGGCCATCAAGTACCAGAGGGAGGTCAATGATATGCAGGCGGTGGGTTACAGTCTCCATTACGGAAAACAAATGCTGTGAGTTTTCTTTGAGTTTTAATCCAGAACTCTTGGCTTTGCTGTCTCCAGCAACTTGCAGACGAATTCACACATCGCAACGAGCTGCAGATGCAGTTGGCTAGCAAGGAAAGTGACATCGAGCAGCTCCGCGAGAAGCTGAACAATTTGCAGCAAAGAATGGAGAATTCAAGCATCACCAGCTTGCAGACTGATGAAACGGACAGTAATCCTGCAGGTAGGAGTTTATCTTTTAGAAGTAGGTATCAAATGACTGGAGAATTATACAATTTAAGACTGAACAGTTACATGATTGAATTGTCGTC